TAAGGTATAAATATATGTTTTTGTATCCTCATTATCCGTTATCCACTATATTAATCGGGTTTAGTCATGGGTACTTATGAGCATCCTATCCATTATTAGTAAAAGATGTATTTTAAATAAAGTTTGGGATTGGATAGTTTAAAATTTGAAAATATTCTACCCATTTAATGTGTTCTTTAAATAGGTTTACGACGGATAAAGGTAATAAAATTTTAGACAGATTTGAATATAGGTACATAAACGGTTATTTAAATAAATTTGGTACGAATAGAATAATAAAATTTGAAACGGATATGAGTATAAGTAGCTCAAAATTTGAGGGTACCCGCCACCCTTCCATATCTAATCATGAAACGTTACTCCTCTAATATTTAACTAACAACTAATAATACAATTGCTCCTACAATATCTAATAGCTATTAAAACAATTAATATTGGATAAAAATCTAATCAATAAATAAACTTATGAGTTTTGTAATAATTAATGAATTATTTTGTTTTTTTGGTAATTTATATAATAATAATTTAATTAACCAAATACAAGAGAGTCACAATTCCTGAGTTCTTTACTCATTTTTTAAGATGGATTGTCCTCCCATTTTTTTAAGAGACAAACACTGCATTAGAAAATGTTTGGGGAGGAGGGTAAGAACTTGGGTAGGTATCTAAAGAGCAAATCAATGGCAGCTTCTTACCAGCCTTTTACTATAAATACAAAGACTCTTCAATGCATTTATGATGACACCCATTGCAACAATATAGTCCACTAGTTACATATTTTTAATGCAATTTTTCATGTGTACTTTTTTCTTTTTTCTTTTTTTAAAAGAAAAAAAATATACAAAAGGAAAGTCTAAATCTAATGTTAATCTAAAAAAAAAAATGTTAATTATCTAAAAGTGAAGTCATTTTCTTACTTTAGTTTACTCCCACTACTACATTAAAAGATAAAAACACCATTATTATATTCCCAAAATTGGTTAATTATCTATTTGATTTGGAAAAAGATTGAAAATATTGTTTATTCCCCACTTGTTATATTGATTTTTGAGGGTAACCTATACTGGTTTTCTTAAATTGAAATGAAAGTGAAATTCTTGAATTATATGAAGAATTGCTTTTTGCATAATTTATTAAGTTTATTTTATTAATTTGCTAAAAATTAAATTTCTCATATATATATATTAAGATATTTTATGGTTAAGTTTTTTATTCACACTTATCGTTGGACTAATGCAATATAAAAAATGTAAGTTTCAATGTCTTTGTTCATTAATTTTAATCTAAAGTGACATTGTTTCATTTATTATAATTTGTATTTTCCTCGTAAATGAACTTTTAACATGGAGTGGTAATATGCTTTTCTATGCCAAGTGGTATAGAAAATGATAGGTCAGATACTTCCATTCTTCAATTGGACTTTTAGGTAAGTTACAAATTTCCAATCGACTCGCTTTGATTTGAAAGGTTTAATTCTAATAATACTATAGATTAGTGACTAAAAAGTTAAAAAAAATGCTTTAATCTATTGGTCAAAATAAAATCATCTAAAGCGAATTTCAAAGTTTAAATTTCAGTTAAAACCTAAAAGCTGTCTTTTTCTTTTTTTTTTTTTTTTTACTGTTATTGTATTCCCTCAATCATGGATTCTTATTGTGTTATTCTTCTCTTTAACAAGTCACCAATTATTTTGGAAATCAGATCAACCTTTTGATTTGTTAAGTTTATTTTCATTTTGGTGGTTGTGGCTGTGTGTGGGTATGGTAGTGAGTATGATTAGGGGTTATAAGGGTAGAAGCTGTCTTTTTTTTTTTTTTTTTTTTTTTACTGGCATTCACAGTGAGCTCTTGCTGATGGTTATCCCTTTTCCTTATTTATTATTATTTTTTTTGCATGTAATGTTCAGATCTGTATACAAATCTAAATTATTATTGCCCAAATATTATAATTTATTCTTATTCATATCTTGAAATTTTATTCTCAGAGCTAGTTTTGAGTTATTATTGTTACTAGTTTTGAGTTATTACAGTTATGCAAAAAGCAGTGTAGATCTCTTCTCTAATAGTAGAATGAAGAAATTTGAAGGTAACTAGATCGGACTTGTAGAAAGACCATGGAATCAAACAATTGTCATGAATAGGCCAATGTCACAAATATTATGCTCTGAAAATTCAAGATGTGTTTTTTTATTCTTTGTATGAGTAATTTATTATTAGACTTTCTATAAAAATTTATTAATCTGTATTCCATATTTGTATATAGTTTAAAAAAAAAAAATTTACATCTCAGTTCGGATAAATTTGGATAGAATAGATTTTAAAAAAGTTTGAATCAAATTAAAAATAAAGAGGATTACTTTTCCAAAGATTTTAGAATCAAAATCTATAAATCTAATCTAATTTAATTTCAAATTTAAAGAAAAGTAGACAAAAGAAGAAGAATAAAATATCAACGCAAAAACCAATTTAACTAGAATCAAAACTAAGTCAAAATAGTTTCTCATGTAACGATTAGTATTTTGACTTATTTTTATTATTAATAATGTTTGGTGGCGTAATATTTATAACAGTATTTAGAGTTTAAGAGAACATATTGTAAAACGTTACTCTCCCAGTAACTATAATATTTTTTATCTACCAGCCATAATGTTCAAATCTAGCTAGCTTTTATATGACATTATCAGTCAGTAGAACTTAGTGCATTTTTTTTTTCACTCTATTATCATTTCATTTTTTAAAAAAATAAAAGAAACATTACTTTAAAATTTATAACAGGTGTTTAATGTTTTATTGGAAATTTACCTGCATGGGAATAATAAATTTAATAAAGGCAATTAGTAAAAATTGGATAAAAAAAATACAAGAAAAATAATGAGCCAGAATTGAATGTATAAGGAATGGATTGGCAAGCATTTTCCCCCTTTTCTTTTTTATACGGAAAAGGTTGAATGAACCGAAATACTACATGGTAAGGTAACTCTCATCTTTAAATAACATTCACTAAATTGATTAAGGAAGACCAATCAAATCACATCTGATTGGTAAGTATTTAAAACTTGTTTCTTGTAAATGACAAATAAATTAACATGTAAATTTCAAATTAATATATTAAGACAGAATACGAATTTTTTAGAATAAAATATTTTATTTTCTATTGCCATGTTAGTATTTTTTATGATGGTATTCCGATAAGTGAACTCCCGTTGAAACAAAAATCAAAATTTAATGACTAAAAAATGACAAATTAAAGTTAGGTGACCTTATAAAATTAAATGTGAATTTAGGTGACTCTTAGTATAATTTGACCATTTAAAAGTGAGAATACATCACATATTTGAATTTGAGGAGGATAAGAATTTATTTAAAAAAATAAATATTACATAATTTATTTTAATTCGAAATATAAGTAAAATTGTGATGGATAGAATTATTGATCGAAGTGGTAAGTAATCTGAATTTTTATAAGATTGATAACACAAATTCAATTATGGAGAAACTCACCTTGCAACAAAAAAAAAACATGGTAATAATTTTGGACAGACCAACACATTAAATAGCATGAAGAATTAATAATTATAATTTCTACCTATCGGGATGGATTTTTTATTTTCTTTGTGAATAAAAAAAAAATTACCTGTTCTCGAATCACTCTCACGCTATAAACAGCAAAATCAAATGCTTATTTACATCGTATTTAACAATAATATTTTTAATAGCTTTTAGCTTTTTGAAGAGTTAATAATTATAATTTCTACCTATCAGGTTGGATTTTTTTATTTTCTTTAAAAAAAAAATAGTTGTTATCGAACCGCGGTCATACTATAAATAGCAAAATCAAATGCATATATTTAGACCGTGTTTGGAATAATATTTTAAGTAGATTTTAACTTTTTAACTGGTGAAAACGCTAAATGTTATTTTTTATAGTGTTCTGTGATATAACAATTGAATTAACTTTTAGAGGTCAACGTTTTATAAAAAATTAATTCATGTAACGTTTAGCTTTTAACGTTTCATGAAAAGCTACTTAAACACTAATAGCCAAACGTTATTAAAACAGTTAACAACCATCAAAATAGTTAAGAACTAACTCAAGTCAATATGCTTCCTAACACTATATTTGGGTGTTAAGAACTTATCCCGATTTAAAATTTGAAAGTGCAGCAAAATTAAAAAAAAAAAAATTCATAAGCAAATTTATATATTCAGCCCACTATAAACCCAACAATAACAACAATAAAATAATTTTCAAAAATTGACAAAGTAATAATTTATAAATTTTTATTAATTAAAATTTATTTTTAAAATTGTAAATAGAACATTTTTAAGCACTGTAAAATCAAAATTCAATAATTTTTTAGTAATTTTTAACAACTAGTCCCTCGCCGAGCCTGCGGGATGAACGGATTGTAATATGGGTTTTAAGACTTTTTTCCAAGATCCAGTCGCTAAATCCAGCTGTAATAATGATGATATGAATTTGGTAAAGTTTTATGGTTTTATATATATGAGCCTGGCGGGCCATGAAACGGATTGTAATATGGGTTTTAAGACTTTTTTCCAGAGATCCAGTCGCTAATCAGCTGTAAATAATGATGATATGAATTTGGTTAAAAGTCTTTATGGTTTTTATACTCTCTATATATATATATATTTTTTTTTTTTTTTTTTCTTCTGGTCTATATATTTTAAAGCTCCATCTTGTAAAAGCTTTACTTTTATTTACCCTTTTGTTAAAAAAAACAAGAGTTATTTTTTCTGGATCTTATATTTTAAGCTCCATTTGTAAAGTTTATTTTATTTACCCTTTGTTAAAAAAACAGTTAAAAAAATTTCAAAAAACTTTTTTTCTGAACAGTAATTGAATTGACAATAAATGCGAACAAAAATACTATGGACCCACCACTTTTTTTTTTATTTGTACCATATACCGTACCTCTACAGTCCAAAAGCAAAGTGCATTACTGATCACACCATAGCTCCTCCTCCTTCCTTCTGTATATATATCCCCTCAAGCTCAACCCCCAAACCCACTACCACCTCCACCACCACTACCCTCAGTTGTTTTCTTTGCTTCTTTCTACTCCTCTACTTATTCTTGCATGGCAGTGAGGTTGCTCGCACTTGAGGTATCCGACCTCTGTTTAGGCAAGCCTGCTTTGAGGTCTCTTCCAGTCACAGCCACCATAGCTGAAGCTCTTTCAGCTCTGAAGAACTCTGACGATAACTTCTTAAGTTTATGGAATTGTGACCATACCAAAAAAACAAATTCTGGGTTTGAAACAGAGGAGTGTAAATGTGTAGGGAAAGTAAGCATTGTAGATGTGATATGTTATCTTTGTCGAGATGAAAATTTGTTGTCACCTTCAACTGCTTTAAATTCTCCTGTCTCCGTTCTTTTGCCTAAGATTCCTCACCTTGTTATGCATGTGGAACCATCTTCAAGGTATTGAAAATTGTGTTTTTGGCTTTTTGGTTACCTTTTTAGTTTCAGATTTTTTGTCTGAATCTTATCTGGGTTTTTATTCTTTATTTTTTCAGTTTATTTTCTTTATGGGAGTTTCTTCTTCCAAGGTGTTCTGTTTTATGCTTGTTGAAAGATAGATATGAGCAAATGGTAAAAGCTTCCCATCATAGACTTTATCTTTCGCTTCAAAGTTTTGTTTAATTTTGACATTTTTCTGATTAATTACTTTACTTCCCCCCATAATCTTTTTTGGCTACTATTCCCTTTTTTTTTTTTTACTTTGTTTTTGTTAATTAATTGCTTTCTTAATCAGATTAAGAATGTTTTTGTTTTATAATTGGATCTTTTTTTTTTTTTTTTTCTAATCTGAAATTTTGTTGTCAATTTTGGAGTTAGGGGTTTATCCAAATTTAAAGATTTTGTTCTTTTTCTTGTAATCCTGTTAATCTCAATCACTGTATCTGTTTGTAACTTGTATATATAAATTTTAGTTGCAGCTAAGATTTGAATCTTGCTCTGTTTATTGCAATTCTGTTAATACTTACTCTGTTTTCTTTTTTACTTTCAGCTTATTAGAAGCAATTGACCGAATCCTTCAAGGAGCTCAAAACCTAGTGGTGCCAATAAAGACTAGGCTCAGTTCGTCCAGTTTAAGAAGAAAACAGCAGCAGAAACTCTCAGCAGCAACCACCACCATTCACGACGGCCGTGAATTTTGCTGGCTAACTCAAGAAGATATAATCAGATTCCTTTTGAGCTCCATCGGCCTTTTCTCTCCCTTCCCTGCTCTCTCCATTGACGAACTTGGCATCATTAGCACTGATATAATCACCATAGACTACAATTCCCCTGCTTCCTCTGCGCTTGAACCCATTTATCGCGCTCTCACTACTCAGACCTCTATTGCAGTTGTGGACGAGGATGAGGGAATCTTGATTGGTGAACTCTCGCCACTCGCACTAGACTGCTGCGATGAAACTGTCGCAGCAGCCATAGCTACCCTGTCTTGTGCGGATTTAATGTCCTACATTGATTGTAGAGGCCCGCCAGAGGACCTAGTCCGTCTGGTGATGTCAAGATTGAAGCAAAGAGGACTAGACACTCTGCTTCATCAGTTCACTAACTCAACAAATTCACTTGGTCCTGTTTTATCATCATCATCTTCATCAGATGAAGAATCAGGAGGAGCAACAATGTGTAGATCAGGGAAGTACAGTAGGTCCTTGAGTTACTCTGCAAGAATGGTGAGAAGAGCAGAAGCAATAGTTTGTCATCCAAAAAGCTCACTTGTTGCAGTGATGATCCAAGCTATTACTCATAGAGTTAATTATGTGTGGGTAATAGAGGAAGATTGTGGTTTAGTTGGCATTGTCACGTTCTGTAACATGTTAAAAGTTTTTAGGGAACATTTAGAGGACATGGCCTAACATAAATAAATAAAAAAACCAAGTTTGGGGAGATGAGAGGGTGTGAAGAACAACTTTTCTAGTAAAAGTTTTCTTCTTTTTGGTGTTCAATCATCTTCTAAGGCTTTAAAATGCTAACTTGGTGAGAGATTAGTTGAAGAGAATAAGGGATTAGCAATGTTTATGTGATGTGGATATGCAACTTTTTTTCTGTTTTTTGTGTTTGTTTAATCAATTTGGATGAGGGGTTTGTTGGTTCTTTGTATTCTTTCTTTTCTTTGTTTATGTCATGTGATTTTTACCCTTTTCTTTGTTTTTTCACTGTGAATTCAAGAAAGTAGAAATGGGTAGGGGAGATGATGTTTTATGTCATCTATCTTCTTTATTTTCATTATTTGCTTGTTTGATATTATTAATAATAGAAGTGTTAACATCTTTTTTAGGTATTATAGTGGATAGGTATCAATCCTTGTCACATGTAACCATAGTGATATGTTACTTCACTTTTACTTATCATTTTAAGAACAGTCCATGGAAGGAATGGAGCCATTTGAGAAAAATCCAGACAATGGAGTTTGCTCATCCGCTTTAATGATGACAACTCAGAGGTGTGTGGATTACACATTCTAGAACAAAATCTCTCTCTCTCTCAAATTATTCATTTCTTCATTTTTGGAATATAAAATGCAAATCAATATGTTTGTATGCAAAAATATTTCTATACTTTTATATAACAATTCTAATAATAAATTACTTATACATATATAAAAATAATATTAATTTGAAGTATTTAATAGAATCGACAAAGCATAATATTTGTGTTGTAGGAAATCACTTGCTCCATTTTGTGGCTATTCATTGTCATGTTTGATTCCATAGTCTTTTTATAAATTTAATATGATCACTTTCAAATTTTTTACTTTTATCAAAGATGAGATCAACACTGTTTTCTGCATAATTATCGAAATAATAAAAGACCTTCAACAAAATTACTATAATGGTAACAACAATAAATCAGAACTGAAAATAAAATCTTAAGATATGAGTAATAATAAATCTCAATTTTTAGACGATAATAATTTCAATTTATATATAAATTTAAAAATCATTTTAAAAAAATACAAATGAAAAAATAAATAAATGATCATCGGTGAGAGCTCACGGTTACCATATGAGGAAAAGAAAACACTTTTACATTTGAAGTTTTCGAAGAAAGAAAAAGCCCAAGGACTGCAAGTCTTTTATTAGAGTGACATATCTCCCTAAAATTATCTGTAGCAGTTTAATTTGCAAGCTTACATTAGAAATATGTATATTCTATAGTTCTTGGATCTAGTAGTGTGAATTGTTTTACACGCAACTTTGCCTCATCTCACGCGCCTTTGCCAATCGGTGTAACGTTAACAACAAACTTTTAATTGGTATAGACAAAAACAATTGTAATACGTATAAAAATATATAAAAGCTCAAACATAGTAGTTGAGATGGCATAATGCTAGAAATATTATTTTATTGAGTTGGAGTCTTTTTTTTTTTAAGAAAATTATTTTTTAATACAATTGATAGAAAAATTAATAATATTAATGATATTCCTCAGTTTTTTATTAACTTAATAGAATTAATAATATTTAATTTTTAAAAATAATTAACGATATCAATAATATTTACACTGGAAAAAAAACCCAGCGACAGACTAAAATTAATTGCTACATTGCGATTACACAATGACTAATTGCGACCGATACATGATTAAATGAAAGGATATTTTCAGCGAACAAAACAACCTATTTGCGATCGAGTCCAAAGCAGTCACTAAACGTGGCACCAAAAATTTCCACGAACGTTAGTCATTGATTTGCGATTGATGTGTGACTATCATTGATGTTCATTTTCTTCAAATTTTTTTTTTTTATTGTTATGGAATTTATATAGTTTTCAATGTGGCACAATATCAAAGTATTAAGGTGCTACCATTGCATAATACAAAAAAAATTATCCTGCTGAATTATAATTAATATTTTTACTTTTTAATATAACTAGTCTTTTTTTTTTCAACGTGCTTGTACTCGTTTTTTTACTTGTAAATAATTCTTTTACTCTTTTATATTATATAACATTATTATTTTTAAAATATATTTTTAATTGTCACAATTTATTGTTACTTTTCTTAATTTTTTTTATAGTAAATTCATTTGATTTAATAATTGATTGTTTTGATAATTTTAGCACTTATACATACATGTTTTTCATTATATTTTACTTGTTATTCTTACTTGTATTTTAATTTTTGTACATCTATGAACCTCTTGCTAATTCAATATTTTTCTCAATTAGTTTTAAGTTTATAAAATTATTTGAGCTAAGTTATAGCTAATGCTCCAGAGTTACCGTTTAAAGTTGAATTTGGCAAAATAGTTAATCAAATATGAAATTAACAACTAAATTTATAGTTCTTATAATATTTTCCTTAATTTAGCATATAATTTATAAGATTTGCTGAAATTCATGTTGTAATTATTTTATTTACTTTTATTTTATTTATTAGTTAGAGTATAATTTAATTTACATAAGAAACTAATATAATCGATTAAATTAAATTAAATTTACTTTATTTTTTCAACAAATGAAATTAAAAGCTTTCTAAAGATATTTTTTATAATAGATATTTTTTTAGTCACTAATCCATTCATCTAATCAATATAACAAAATATGTTAGTTATAATCAATACAACAAAATATTATCAATGCATTTAATAATGTAATAGAAAGAATTCATTCATTTTAATAGAATGATTTGCAATATATATATTATACCAAATTATATGTGTTGACACTAAATTATAAAATAATATATGAACTTACACATAAATATATTATCAGTATATATGTATGCACCTTTTTAAAAGAAAATTAATTTGTCTAGGAAAAATAGTTAACAAATAATAGTACATGTGTTTTATATATGAAAATAAATACATACATAAATTCTTGATATTCAAATTGAAAAGATTTTTGTGATAGTATACCAAAATAAAAAAGTTATAAATATTATGAATGTTTTAAGATAATAGACATCAACTAAAAAAGACATTGACTGTCAAAATATAATATAATATAATTTATATATGATTTATTTAAGTATTGTTTTATGTTTATCGATAATCTTTCATTATAAAATTTATTTATTATTGTGAATTTAATAATTCCAATTGTAAATGGCAAAGAATTTGTTTTTGGCTCTTCGATTATATCTAATAAATCAAATGGGATTTTTTTAGATATTGTATGCAATTAATTACCCCTCATATGGTATTCATAATATAATTTTTTTTAATAGATTTTAAATGTAGTTTCAAATTTTCGTAACTATAAATATAAGTAAACAGTTTAACGAAATAAATATTGTACAATAAAAAATTTCAAATACTTTAATATATAAAATAAATATATTAAAATGTACTATTTAATTACATGCAATAAGTTTCCTATTTAAAATTAAATTAAACTTTCTAATATAATTTATATTCAAATTGAAAATTAACTTACCCAATCAAAATTAAACTATCTTTATTTTTCAATTAATAAAATCAAAATATAATATTTAATTTATCAGTTATTAAAAATTCATGTTATTTAATAAAATCAAATTATTATCAATTATCCAAAAGGATATTTTAGAACTTTTAAAATTTCATTGAGCTTATTATAGGTAATCTCGTTATTCCCTCTCTCATTTTCACTTTTATATATAGTACTAGTCGTTTGTATTATTCCCTCCCTCATTCCCACTTTTATATATATTACTAGTCGTTTGTATGGCATGCATTGCACATTGACTATATTCGTTATATGCTCATTTTTTTATCCATATAATATTAAATCATAAGTCCTGTTTAGATTAAAATAAATGTAAATGATTAATTTGTATTATATTTTATTGTACAAACTATTTGCAATACTACTTATTATGTACTTAATTCTATATATAATGAAGTGATCTTAGAATAAAGTTGGACCCAATTCTTAGACTTAATTCTTTAGGCCATAATTTATAATATGCAGATTTTCAAACTCTAATAAGTGCTTGAAAGGAAAATAAAGTCATTACTCAATCTCCAACCTACTGGCCTCAACCCCAAATCAACCCAATCCTTAAATTTAATTCTTTAAGCCATAATTTATAAAATGCAGATTTTCAAAACCTTAATAGATACTCAAAAAGAAAATTAAGTCATTACTCAATCTCCAACCTCATGCCCTTAACCCTAAATCAATATCTATATACAATTATAATGAAGAATAATATATCCAATCAAATCTTACAAACATAAAGAACAAAAACATTAATAAAAATGATATTTTTTTTTCTTCTTTTTTATATGTCTCCTAAATAAAATATTATACATATACTATTTGAAAATTTATTTTTTTAAAAGAATATCCAATCATATCATACAAAGCAAAAAATATATATATTTTTTCTTTTTTTATATATTTTCTAAAAAGAATTAAACGTTTAATAAATAAAATATAAAAAAATTTCAAATATCTCATTATCGTGGTATATTCATTTAGAAAAATAAATTTAGTAAAAATAAAAATTAAAAATTTGAAATGTTTAATTATTTATATGTATTTATTTAAAAAATGGTTTTTTTATTCATTTGGAAACATAATCGGCCAAAATAACACTGTGAATTACACAATAATCAAATGGTGAAAACACTCGTGATCGAGAGATATCTACTCTTCACATAAGTGAGAAGACAATCAAACTGCATATGATTGGCTTAAAATTAATTTTTATAAATTATATCCAATCAACTAATAAACTGTAATTTTATAATTGAACATCATTACGGGTATTTAGAATATTTTAAATTGCATTAAGGGTGATATAAAAAATCACATTATTCCCACTCATTCCCACTTTTATATTAGTATAGATAGATTGATAGAGAACTTGAATTCGTATCATTAAATGATATTCTTCAATTTTTCCAATAAATTAATTATATTATTAACATTCTAAAAACTTTTCACTTTCTTTTTTTAAATAATTAACAATATCATTAATATTTATATCCATATAAATATAACATTAATATTTATTATCTTTATATTTTTTATATTGTTATGGAATTTTGTATGGATTTTCTTTTTAATATAATGAAACTATAAAGAAAATCAGAATTATACATTCACCAAAAATGAAGTGAATTTCTCTTTGCAAATAATATCAAGATTATTTCCATGGTATTTTATTGATGTGAATTTGATCGATATAACAATGGTTGTGTGATTACAGAGTTGTTCGATTTTTATGATCAATTGAGATATGATTTTATGATTTGTGAATCAATAGATAACTATTAGCGTTTTAGGTCCACACAAAAACATATTAGGTATTGTTATTCTACTTAGATGTTAATTATTGACGTATAAA